CATGAACCAAGTGGTACCTTCCACGCAAGTATCTCTAAGAAATGATGAGAAACAAAAAAACCAGATGATTATCGAACTAAAATTAATATATTAATAAAAAATGCACTTCCATTTTCTGATGATATCTTCAATTCTGATGACATGTGTCAAGAAAGTGAGCAGAACCATTCGCCCCTTCAACAGAATGAGAATATCCAGAACGTGATAATGGAAGGCGTCAAAAGCACATGTCTAGTCGGAAAATATAGTCTCAAGTCAGCGGAACTCTTTTCTGAAATAGCCAAAAACAGAAATACATGAAAGAACAAGAAACCCTTTGTTCCGAGCTCCTGCAGCACGTGTGACAGAATGCAGTCTGAAACATACCACGGAAATATTCCACGAGCTCACAGTAATAGGAAGTTGAATTTTCTGAAGTATCAAATTTCAGTTCTTAAAGAAACGATGATTTTTCTCTTTATAAAAGAATTCAGAACTCAGAATTAAAATAATTCGCTTCATTCAGGAGCAGTTATTTGTGATTTCATCTGAGAATCAAGGCAGAAAGAATGCCATTGTCATGGAAATGTCGAAAATCTAATAAAAACGTCCAGTTAATCAGTGCTGCATTCTTGAAAGTGATTAAAGTAAAACCGCACATTCGAAAATTCCAGGAGGAACTTTGTTGAATTTTATCCGGCCACTCGAAAAGCCTTTCGTGGCTTTTCTCTCTACCGCTTTCAAGCGTCTGATATAGGTATCCGTGAAATTGCTGGCCCTCTCTTGAAAATTCCACCAGTACACTTTCAATTACCTCCAGACTCGAGAGTGAGGTTACTCACCAGTACACTGCATTTGTCGGCCAACGGGGTAAGTTATTTTTTAAGGGATAAAGCACATGCTGGATATCCGAGCACAACCGAAGAGTATATCATCAGACGACTCGAGCATTCCCGGGGGATTATTCATTAGCGAAATCACTGGATCATTATGAATTGAAATCATATGAAATCAGCAACACGAAGAAATAAATACTTCAATCAAGATATTTCATACTGGATTCAAATAAATGTGTTATATTTATACTTAGATATTAATGAATTGAAGGAACCTAGCGTATTTTTTATATAAACCTTTTTTATTGGAAAGGATTAGAGCTACAAAAAAGGTATTTATGAAAAAGTTGTTATTTTCCTTCAATTTCGAAATATTGGCTGAACATTGGGCTCGAAAAAAATGCACTCATCCTAGTTTCCTATTTCGCCACAGAATCATAATTAAGTATATTAATAAATTTATGTCAAGTATAACGTATATGCTTAAATCAAGTATACAATATACTGGATTCAAGTTTTTTATTTCCATGGATCATCGTGTTATGATATTTGAGAACGATTAATTCTTCGACATTTCCAGTTAAAATTGAGGTGCGCACAGATCAGCAATTATAATGCTGAGACAGTTTTTTGATTTACGTTGTAATGCAATTACTAATTTTGAAGGCACCTCCCAAAAAGACCGCCACCACAATAAAGACCACTGAGACACGCGGTGTAGAGTCCTGGCATGCCGCCCTGCAAATACTCGTACTCATACCTCGGAACGAGGGAACGCCTCTGGTAACGACACACGAGTACCACAAGCATGTCACGAAAATTGAGAAAATTCCAGGGGCATGTCGAGAAAAATTATTGACGAAAATTAGAAATTAATTGCATCACGTCATTCATGATTACTAGCTGTAAGTTGATTCCGCCGTGGTCGAGAGCACTTACCGCCACGAAATGTAATTTTTTCGTTCATCACGACTCAGAAAGAAAATTACTTTTAGTAGATTTAATAATTCTAGAAATATATTGACCTGATTTATAATTGATTACAAAAATGGCACGCCAGAACGACATTTTAATGATTTATTTCTCAAAAAATAAATGACTCAAGTCACCAACTGTTAATCTCACATATATACGTCACATAGACGGTAATAAAACCGTCAGAGACGAGAAAAATTGAATCAAAAAGAATTTGAATAAGAAACATTGAAAATGTTAAAAACTCAAGCAATAATTCCCCAAAATTTCCAATCCACCAAAAATTCAAGACTTCATTGAAAAATCAATGATTCATCAACACGAAGAATAATTCTTATTCGAATATCCACTAAAAATGATAAATTTATTGAAGATTTTCAATTGAAAATGAAAGAGTCAATTTGGTGAATCATTGATCGGGGGAATACTTCACCATTTTGTCAGCGTGTAGTATAGTCCCCTAATAATAATGAGGTAACCCCTTAATTGAGAAGGAACCTAAGCTTGGAACCACGGAATAGAGGGAAGAGAGTCCCGTTGGAGAAGATGTTAAATCTTGCACCGCAGAAGCTCAACGAAGAACTATCGAACTTCCGGCTTCCAACGTCGGATAATATTACGCTGTTGGAGAATTAGGTGTACTTTGTTCTACACGCGGAATTCCCCCCAAGTTTCCCATCTCCCTGTGATTTAAGAAAATACCTCAACGATGGTGGGCAGAGGCCAAGGGATGGAAGCATTAACATTGGCTGGGAAACATGGGATAAGAAGAATAGTTGCCAGTACCAATTGGAATCAATTTGCGAATACGATTGGCATAAATTACCAAGTTACATCAATGTCTCATGGGTAAGGAGAGGAAGAACGTGAGGAGAGTGAAGGAAAAAGTCAAATGAAACGAATTTGAAATGACAAAGAGCAGAATCCTTCAGCACCTTGGCTCCTGTTCTTGCTCCGTGGTTTTCTTTGAATTGCAAGCAGTCTGTTAAATCGGAATGATCTCTACAGACCCAAACTCTCTGGCCCCCTCATCCTCTTCTGCACATTGCTCAAATCCATTTTACCGATTTGACTTGCAAAAGCCGGATTACTGGCCAGACGCAAGACGACACTCTCACTCTCAAACTCAAACCAACTCTTACCACTATATTCCACCCACTTTGTCTATCCTCTTGCTGGGGTTGTTTCACTGGCTAGAGATAGAAATTGAGGCCGTTGGAGGGGTGGGCACTTTATGTTTACGTTGAGTTATAAGCCTAGTGCACACCCAAGTGACCGAGATAGACGCCATTCCATATACCCGAGGTGGAAGTTCATTCTAGTCAAGCACAACAAGTCTTCCAATCTGAAATTTTTCTTTTTCAAAAATATATTGCAGAATATCTTGATCATTTTACATTATTATTATAGCATTTTTTAATTTTTTTTATGGGATTAGGAAATTTATTCTCGTTCACGGAGAAAAAATTACTCGAATCGGGAATATAGATTCTCAATTTTCGGAGCGGAAACTATACGTGGTCATATATATATCTATAAGGAGAATTATTTCCAGAATCTCCCCAGAACCTTCGATAGTTTTTGTTTAAATTTTTATCGAATAATTATGATACCGCAATATAAATTCCCTTCCATAATCGATAAACGAACTAAAATTTTATAATATTTATTCAATATTTCTCTCCGTGCAATGGAAAATAAATATTCTCAATTCGATAATTCCCACGCTCAAATGAAGAATACACATTCATTCATATTAAACGGGCAGTAAATTCCTGAATCAAAAGTACAACTCGTGAAATCGGGTTGATTGACAATTTGATTTTCAATTGCGAAATAAAATGAATCCGGTTGAATTATTTTCTTATAGATCACTGAGATACACCAACAGATATTCTAAAATATCTTCATTAATCTTTTATGAGTTAATGTTTCGTTCGATATGAGATTACACGGAGATTATTCGTGGGGGATGAAGCACAATCCCTCGAACCAGTCAAGAGCACACACCGTGCACGTTATAATTTACCATTAAACGGTTTACGATGATAAAACGCCAGCGGGTGTACAGCCTCTCAGGGGCTTCTCGTTGTATGGATACAAAAGTTGGTAGGGGAATAATGCACACAAGGAGCACTGTAAAATGGAAATAAACTCCCTACATCGAACGTTTTAGCGCTGAAAACGTCTATTGACAAGTTTTTTTTTCTGGCGTTATTTTTCTATTTGGAGAATGGCGAATCAATTGCCATGCGTGTGTGTGGAGATCGTTGGTGGTACTCTCGGGAATATGCGAATAGCTCTGCTTGTGATTCTACCTATTTTTATCATACGTTTGTAGACGTAGAGCAGGAGCTTGGGAATCGATCTTGAAATAGCGAGAAGAAGCAATATTCCAAACCGTCTTTGGTTTGAGGGCATAAAATAAATCTGGCCAATCCTCAAAATGATATCTCTTGATGCTTTACCAACGTCTCTGTGGTATATTTCACTTCTGTGAATTATTATTTCATCCTTCCAACCCGCGATTTATACTTTCAGTTTGGAGAAGACTTTCTTTTACTTTTTAAGGATTTTCAATGTTTTCACTTGCATCGGGGGAGTTATGGTTGTGAGTACTTTGAAAAAAATTGAATTTTTCTTTCATGCCGATTTTTTTTTTCAACAGGAACGTACGTTTATTTTTTTTTCCATTTTTTTTTCTCTTGTTTTATTTCGCACTGAGCAGAAATACAAGCTATTCATGAGAAGATGAGGTTACCAACAGCCGCACAAGCCTCTGCCTCTGTTCTTCAGCACTCATATTCACACGCATACAGCACACAAACGTTCAAACATATTTTTGAGTTTTCAAGTTTTTTTCACCCCTTATCAAGCATTGCGATTCAGTTGTGCACCCTTTCAACTCGCCAGCCCCTTTTGTTCGAATTCAAGATCAAAGATAAATTGATGATAATACATTTACATATAATTACATCTCTTCATTTCTGTGCATTATTCGTACTTTAATAATATACATATAGAGGATATACACATACATTACATCTTAGAAAATAAATATATATATGCTTAATTAGTTTTCATTTGTATAATTATACTCCAATTCTCTCGTTACAATTCAATTCTCGTATTTCTTTTTTTCGTTTTTTGTTCTTAAAAAATAATGATATTTTAGAATATACATTAATGTGTCTAGACTGTCTTTATTTCTTTTTTTTTCGGGCATGTGGCGTTTGTTAAGTATCTGTGGAAATTCTGAATTAAAAGGCGAACGAGCGCTGAATCAGGAGATCTTTTACATTCCGTTGGTCGCGCTTTACATTTTGGGGCGAAATCCATGTAATTTAACAAAAAAATTACCACATTTCAATTTGAATATATGAGGATGAACATTTCTTCCAAATTTAATCATTCTTTTTCCTGTATAAATGCCAATTTTTGGTATTTTTTTGAGAGCGTTAACTCTACATCAATTACACGGAAAGATAAAGTAGAAAAAAAAATAAAAATAGAAATCATGATAAAAATGACGGAACGTCCAGTCGAAATGATGAAGTTATTGCGTACTTTTTACGAAGTGTTACTACTTTTTTTTTAGATGTTTCGTTATTTTTATCACAAATTTTTTCTAGAAAGTGCGTGATAGAATTTTTCTTTGTATATAGAATCACATGAGACGTGAGGACTTACAATCTCCTGAGGAAATAAAAACAGAATATATTTCTTGATTCAAATTTTTCTCTAGACTTTAAAAAAATATATCCTCAACAACGAAGGGTTTTTTTTATGAATGCAGGAAACGTTTTCTAAAACCAAGAGAAAAAAAAGTATAAGAACTCGACCAACGGACTGCCAAAGGAAAATAAAGTGAGCGATATTTTTTTTCTAGTTTTCAACAAACTGTTCTTTCTCTTTTTGGGCGGACGCTCATGTACAAAGAGTCATTTCCGTACCGCACTCGTCGATAAGAGTGAAAAGCGAAATTAGTGAGAAGGGAAAACACTGGATCGAAAGGGTGGGAGCAATTATTTTTCCACTCAGAGTTGAGGGAATTTAATCTTTGATTTTTATTTCTCGTTACTCTCTTCATTTTTATCTCTATAGTAATCAACACACTCACACGATGAAAATTTGGCTCGCCGTAGCATTGGATTAAGCGTAGATATATACATCAATTTATTTACCGTTCAAATAATACATAATAAAAATGATTTCAATAATGTACATGAAAAATATTCTCTACTAAATAACCGATGTCAATATGGAAAGAGATTACAATAATCACTTTTTCAATTTATTTTATAGACATAAATTTGATTTTCACCTTTTCATCACATTGTTTTATTCAGTATTTTTGTATATATATATATTTATATATATATGATCCATACCGAACATGAAGCACTCATACAAATTATTTAAATATTTGTCACTCATCACTTTATTTATTTAAATCTTCACTTTATTACTTGTACTTGTATCTTTGTTCAATGACTAAAGGAAAATGATTTATTGTTTGAAGCAGTTAACGGTTGGTGGAAAAAATTGAACAAAAAGTGATCATTAAACGGGGGATAAAAAGGAGAAGGAGTTGATACACTGTATCGACTTTTGGTCACCAGTGGCCGAGACTAAAATACCTACGTCCAGTGATTGATAGTACACATTTTAGATTTTTTTTTTAACCCCTCCTTCATAGACATCCTGGGTAGTTTTTCACAGTCTTCAGAGCCCAGTGACCGATGAACCGAGGAATACTAGGGGAGTGCCTCCCTCATTTCTCGACAAAGAACACTTGAGAAAACAAGTGATATCGATTTTTCAAAGAATCCCCCGATCTTTCCTCATGGTCGATCGTCAATGCTCAACAGTCAAGGGATTAAACAAGACTATAATTTATCGAGTTCAAATAATAAATCAAAAGCCTCGAATATGCTACGGCAAGCACACGTTGATAAACAAAACTGATATAATTTATTTTCCTCCTTGAATTCCTTCTTCTCGGACCGATCAATTCTCCAATTCTTCATTGAACACCAGTCACTCCAAAATTATGTATTCACGCTAATCATTTACACCTGATGATGAAATACTCCTGTCCGGTTGACAATGAGAAAGAAAGATACTTCAAATAGAGGAAAACATTTAATGATAAAAAGTTCATGGCAAAGCGTGGAGCATTTAATTTTCTCTTCACATGCTTTTTTAATTTGTTAATTAGCACGTAGCTCGTATAAAATCCCTAGAAACACTAGCCTAACATGTATCGTATTAACGAATGACTTTTTTCGGTTTATCTTTGTTTAGTAACTAATGGAGATGTTCAATCATTGCGAGTTCCGTTTGCTGTAGTCATCGGTATTTAGCATTTTTTTTTTTGTATTTGAGCACGAATATCGATTAGGCCTGGATTAATACATGTGTCCATTGTATCGTATTTCGTGCATCTCACAAAATCAATGGAATGCATTTCACGATTTTTATCTTCAATTCCCTCCCTCCACCCTCTTTCTACTGCACCTCTTTCAACTATTGTTCTTATTCGCACAGTGCTAAGATTAAAACGCGCACGTTACTTGTACTCGTTTCGATTTTTCATTCCTGCTTGTTTTTCTCCACCGTTTTATTTCCATTCGAACGTTTGCATTGTGTACCTATCGGTACATAAGCTCAATACACGCTCCCTTTGCATAAAAATTCCGATACCAGCGACGTGGTGATTTACCGACTAATTTGCCCAGGGTATTTTTACCAATTTCCAGACTGTAAAAAAAACACCAATAAACGAGTACACGTCGTAACCCATTTTACCTAGCATTTGATTTTTTTTTCCATTGTTGTTTAATTTAATTTTTTTTTTTTCGTCATTCTGTGAGCTGTGAGAGAATGGACATGTATGAAGCGTCCATTTCATTTTTCTAAATTTACTTTTTACTTAACTCGTTGCACGTTTTTTTTCGCTTGTTATAAGTCTTTAAATGCCAAAGGTCACTTTTAAAAATATATCTCATTGTTCTCTGCCTCTTTTTTTTTGCATTTTTCAGACATTACTCACACGCAGTATACGTACTTTCGTTTTCACCCGCTATCCACGCTCAACCGTTCTCTGAAATAATTACTCTTTTACTCCGACCGGTCAACTTTTAGCTTATCTCTATTTTTTAAATTATTGTTTTGCAATTACCGAGGGCGTTTGGAATTTTCTGGTAAATTAGGGCAATTGAATTATCTTGAATATTTTTTTTTAGGTGAATTACTGGGTAAGGGAGACTGTTTTCGAAACTCGAGCAATCCACGTTTTTTTTATTTTTGAGGAAGAATTGTTTTAAAAAGGGAAGAGGATGAACAAATTGAAATATAAAATTAATGAGAAAAACAGTTGGATTGAATTACTTTGCTTCAATTATTTGGTTCTTCCATCATTTCCTCGTTCTGTTTATTTTTCGTACGCAATAGATTTTATTTTTCCTACCTAGCTAGACCTCTCACATCCAATAAATTCAGTGAAATCACCTGTCACTCACTCCTGCATCCGTCACGAAAACACGAATTTCATGTACACTAGATTAGCCAGAAAAATGGTACCTCCATCCGTCCCTAATTTTACAATAATAAAATGGAATTTTTTTGGACTTGATTTCACACTTGACTTCAATATCGACCTCTCGACTATTCATTCACGGCTAAACCTCTGTTTATACAAGTCTTCTATCTAATCGTCTATCACTTACACAAGTAATGCTCATTTATATTAATTAAATTATTCATTACAATTAGACTTATCCTGTAATACTATGTCCCCTTCTCTACTCAGAGATTAATTTCACATTTTCAGTAGACTGGCATTAATTACATTCTCTTTTTGCCCCTCATTAATTCTCAACTATCTACAGAGAGGGGTGACGAGTCCAGAGGAGCAGAGGGTGAGCGTCGCGACGCCTGTCTTGCTATTCGTAATAAAAGTATCACAGAGAGTGAATGTTCTCTCTATTTTTTGTTCGCGATTTCATCTGACTTGATGTCGTTTGTGGAATCAACACAGTCCAAACCCCTCAACGAAAGAGTGAAACATTTGAAATAAATAGAAAAGGGGAGTGGAAAGAGAGGCGGGAGTTGGTGGCCGGAAGCACGAAGCGACAATTTCCTGGTTTCTTTGTTGGACTCTCCCGTACGGGAGCTTTTGAAGGTCGCGTGGAAAATCACGTTTGCGGAAACTCAAGTGAATAAGACGAAGAGAAATGGAATGAGGTGGGAGTTGCTGGGTGCAGCCAAGGGGATGGAGGAGATTGCAAAGGGTGAGCTCGAGTGAGGGCTAGTTGTGGACAGGAAAGAAAAATAGAAATGAAAAAAAAAAGGAAGAAACTCAGGCGCTGCGGTGAAAAACATTCTTTGAGGAAGCTTGGGAGCTATCTCGATTGGTCGACACAGTCAAAAGTATTTACCGCTGGTTGGAGAAACTACGATAGAGAGTGGAAAAGAGTTGGAGAGGGGTTTGAGTATGTTTCTGCCACTTGTTTTATTTTTTACCTTTATTTTTATACGGCTTTATTTTTTTTATTTTTATTTTTATTTTTTTTTCCCTTTTTCCTTTTTCCTTTTGTTTCGTGCGCTTTCAAACGTTTTCGCCCACTGTAACCGTCACTGGCTTGAACTTGTTTTCTTCGCACCGGCGAGAATAATAGCTCAGTTAAATGCTTGGAAAATGTTAGAGAAATTGGGAGCTTGAGGGAGGGAGATAGAAATAAAGATAAGAAAACTGAGAGAGTGAATTGGTTGGATGGAAGGAGTTTTTAGTTTTCCTGTCTTTTGTTTCTCAATCTCGAAAAAATATGGAATAATCAGGATGAATTTGCCCTCACTGAAATGGGTTGGCCTCACAATAATGGAATCACAGTTGTCAAATTTAGAATAAAATTTTACTTTATTCAATGATAATTTGATTTTTTTTTTCTTCAATCAAACAACAATTCAATTGAATTTACGAAAAAAGATGTATTTTGGTTTTACGACATGTTAATTCTTTTGCTTCGTCGAATGGTGTCACTCAAGAATCGCAATAATTTATATCTCATGTATTTTTTTTAAATAATATTCTGTATAATAGCTCAATAATTTTTGACCAACCTATTGCATATAGATTGCAAATACAAACTGACTAATTCTTTTCGATATACAGACTGGATATATGCATTTCACATACAATTATTTTTGCAAAAATTTTTTTTTTTTACTTTTTTACCATTTTTTATTTACTTTTTCACTTTATTCACATTCTTGGAGGAATAAAAAGTAGATACAAAACATGTCTCGTCGAACGTCCAATATACATATGCGAGGAAATAAAATAGCGTCAATTCCGTAATACACTTGAATATTATTTTTTTAACCATTTAATTTTTGTTCGTTATGGAAAAATACCAACGGCAGAAAAACCTGTGGCAAAACCAGTCTCAATAAATTCCAAGTGAAAACGAGGGCGTGCACGTACGGCTAATATATACATATTTTTCTGATAATTCATAATCCGATGCATATAAAGAAGCCGATACGACCATGATTTGGCGAAAGCGTTTTCCTGTTTTTTTTCATCTCATCTTCAATCCTCATTTTAAAAAAATCACAGCGGAGAACTGTGTTCCATTATTTTCCATACAATCGGTCAATTGTTGTTCATATTTTGAATAAGAAATTGCAAGTTAGCGTCTCGACGACCGGCGTCGCTCCACCGGTGCCCAGGAAAAAAGATTTGTTACTTATAATGTCGAATCGTATTTTTTTCGTCTTGATATTCCATTTACATTTCTCACTTTGAATTCCTCCTTTAATTATTTTTAGATTTTTTTTTTACTTTTTTTTAAATTTTTGTTTTATTTAACTCTAGAAATTTTTAAAGACTATTTAATAATTAAAATCGTGTGAAACGTGGTAACAAATTAATGAAACATTGAAAAATTGCACGATATACAAACTCAGCAGTTGCTCTCTTCATTCACACAGTTTGTTCGTCAGTCACTCCTCTCAGCGTCGAAACTTTTATTCATTTGCTTTTTTTGTATATTTTTTATATATCATTTTTTGTCTTGCAACATCGATTATCAGCAATCGACGCCATCACACGTACTCTTATTATAAACACAAGTCTACGCAGTTGCGCCTGCAGCAATAACATCATACCTCTTTTATCTCATTTACATCATTCATTTAATTATCTTTAATTAATACTCTCTTTCTATCGCAATCATTCTCTTATTCATCTGCGTTTAATTATTCTAAAAAATACGACGTTTACGTTCTACGAGTTTTATCAGTTAATTAATTTGGCCACTGAACATTTAAAATTTTTAGTCCTTTTTGTATTTGTTTTATTTTTTTCAGTTTAGTCGTCCTCGATATTAAACGTTTATATTTATTTTCCATCCCTCAGAGGGACTTGGAAGAATTCAGTTTTATATATATTTATATATTTTCTTCAGAGTTTCAGTGAAATTCTTGATTCGATGATTTTTCCATTTTATCGACATGTCGATTTTTAATTACATTAATTATTTTTTTTTTTTGCATTTGTCTTGCACGTCTATCGATGCGCATTGCTGCGATGAAAATTCAATTTACAAATGAAGAAAAAATGTAAATTAACCATAAAACCTTTGAAACACCTCACGCCATCGACTGGCCCCACTGCTTTATCGTGTACCACTTGAAAAAGTCAATTAACACATCCAAATTACGGAAATTTTTTCATTCCTGTCTTTCTCCTAATTATCCTATCGATCTAATTAATTCGTTTAAATCTCATTTTCCAAAGTTTTCCGACTAAAATACTCCAATTGTCTAAAAATTTTTGCATCTTTCGATGGAGCCATCGAGACAGTACAACTATTTTCTCTATAATTTTTCATTGTAAATTGAGACGAATCTGTCATTTAGCACCGTGGATCCACATCCTCACTAGATTTCAATAAATAAAATCCATGAGTACAGAAGCATTTCCATAAGAACACGAGGTAACTATCACTCGGGCCCATCAAAATGATGCAATATTTTCTCATCATCCAATATCTAACAAAATTTTCCTAATTTTTCATTCGATTCTACTATTATTTGACTAATACTCCATTACTCACGTGATGTTCTCTCGCAATCGAAAAACCTCACCGAATGAACATTCAAAATTTCGATGACGAAGAACGCAAATTTCAACGTAATTTATTGGCAGTGATCAACATTCCTTTGTTCATATCTTTGTTACATTTGTTGAATTATACAATTAATTTAAATATTCACAAATTAATTAGAATTCAGGCTGGAATTAGTAACATATTAACGAGGACGACGACATCACAACGATGACAGAGAAGCAAGGTATCGTCCCTGGAGAAAGGATGCCTTGGCATTTACATTTGTATTATCATTACTTAAATTTTTTTTTCTGTTGCTCAATGCAGTGACTGTTGACATCACAAAATGCTGATTAACACATGGACAAGCTGAGGGATTTGATTAGACGTGTCTCTTCATGTGCAGGGCTAAGTGATCGCTGCGCGAGAAACAGCGGTCGCAGTGCCGGCATTTGAATGGTTTTGCACCTGTGTGTTTGCGATAATGACGTGTCAATTCATCAGAACGTGCAAATCGCCATTCGCAGCCCTCCCAACTGCATTTGTACGGTTTTTCACCTGAAACACCAAGAAAAAACCAATGCCACACGTTAATGAAGAATAATGTCATTTTCGCTGTCATATCCACGTTTATCCCCTTTGGTGGTACATTATTAAGTCATAAATAATCCAAAAATAATCTATCAGGGCATCGCTGAAGGTGACTTGACATTGATGAGGGGGAGGTTCACATCCACGAGACAATACTCCGGTCACCACCTGTGGCGCAATGTTGCCGAGCTTAACGAGCATCAGGGGTTTGTGCCAACCATTCCAAACTACCCCACCTCATACACACACACACACCCACACCCCGGCAATACTTCTCTTTTTTTTTCAATCCTTTTCTTTTAGTTTTTATTTTTACCACTCACCCACCGGTTTTTCTACTCCCAATATTTTTCAAACCCTCAATACTCTAACCCCATTGATTTATTTAACCCACGTAACACCCTCCCTTTTTTTCCTCTGCCACCAAACACGGAGAGTTACGGAAATTTGAAAAAATTTGTCACTGTTTCGTACTCTCACTATTTTCACGCTCATGTGTCACGGCTGAAGGAAGTCATGAATGACAAGACAAGTATACTTCACGTACATAAAATATGTTACCACGATAGTGACGAAATTTATGTTTCACACTTTATTTAACCCCATCTCAAGTGCAACCTGTGTCGTATAAACGAACTGTCCCACGTTTCTTGTCCTTTTCATTCTTGTGTGTTCACCCAGTGGTGGCAAGGGGTGGATGAGATAGAGAACAAGAGGGAACGCTTGTCTGGTGTGACGTCGACAAACCCAGGAAGAACGCGGTGCGGCATAACCAAATTCCACTTCATTCAACCAACCATCTTTTCCCTTCTGTTTTTCCACCACCCATACTCGGGCTTCTCTTATTTTGCTACAGCCCACGAGTTCTCGCAAGTGGAAAATTCCTGGACTCGGGGTCCCTCGGTGCTCGGAGAATTACTAGGGGACGACTCGAGCAAGCTGGGATTTATTTCTTCCAGGCAATATAGAACAATGTACCGAGACCAAATAACCAGCAAACCTCGACTTCTTGAGAATTCTTAACCAATCGATTTGACACTGAGAATTATTGAACATGTGACATGTTTTTCGCTAACAAATTTGTCAAAAAGATGTTGAAAAACAGTCTTGTCGATTAAAGTTAAATCGAAAATCATTGCATCGCTGTAATAGCTGTAATTATAAGCCTTCATTAGAGGCTCATAATTTATTTAATACATTTTTGCAATAAAATAAGAAGAGTCAAGTCGCAGGTCTTTTGTTACATCCCTTTCAAAGGAATCGAATTTCAATGGAATTAATCCCTTATTGACTCGCGGTTCAAATCGACACAATGATATCGGGGACAAAAGATAAAAGCGCAAAGATGTTAAAAATTGATCAAAAACAAAATCCGTGAACGGTTCCGATTAAATTCACAAAATTACAGTGACCATCATATCTTTTCCCTTCTGCAAAATAAACACTGGAATGGGAGGGATGATTTTCCCTGCGGAAAAGAGGAAATGACGCATTTGCACAAGTGATTTTCTTCTGCAGTAGAAAAAACAGGGAGCAAAAGTATTACAAAGGAGTTCTTTGCGGATGAGACGAAAGACGTTATTTGTATTTGTCTTGAATTGAAATTGAACGGAACCAGAATGCCAACAAGAAGGGATCAATACAGGATATTTTTATAAAGACTAAGTGCTAATGAATAATTTACTGCAAACTTCAAGTGCAAAATTTTAATCAACTTGATAACCGGATGTCACGGATCTGCAATAGCTATGGAAGAAACGCATAATAAAAACGACCACTAGTCTTCACTTAATTCTCTTCGGTAAACGCTATGAATTCTATTCAATAATTATATCCCTCAAAATACTCCAAAGAACTGTTACAAGTCGAGATATTATAGACGATATTACTATATTATTTTTATAAATATTAAAAATGAAAAGATTATGATATAAATTATTTATTACGCACAAGTGCTATACTGGCAAAATATTGTTGCCTTCAATTACTTTTGAGGCAATACCTCTAAGTGTAGCCGGTTATTGTAATTTGCTTGAACGAGTTGGGAATTATTTCTGCGTGCGTTGACAAATCGATATATTTTTAAGAAATTATTGGTATATTGAGGGACAGTTATAGTAAAAGGTCGGAGATAATCGACAATTGTTTGAATATAACCTCAGTCTTCAATTAATTGATTTTTATGAGTTTTATGTTTTTATTTAGTCTGCTGGGGCAGGTCATAGAGAACCGACATTTCTTCCTCATGTCATTTTTAACAAACTAAAATTAACGCATTTAATCCACTGTATTTAAATTATTTCTCTGCCCCCCACCATATTCCATTAACAATTATGTACCAAACATGAGAATACATTAGTTTTTTCCTTTGTTCTTGTAATGTTTAAAAATAATGTGCGTTTTTTAAAATATTTTCTTGTTCAAATATTTCGAAGCAATAATTTTTTCAGTTATAATATTTTTTGGGGCGATTTTTTGAGACAATATTTTGAGTTGTATTATTTTGATAGGTAACCTTCTCTTCATGTATATATTTAATGTATTAAATGCAGGTCGTGAATGAATGTATATTCGTGATTAGGTGCGTGACCGATAGTGACACGAAAGCATCTATATTTGCCCCACGAGATTGCGCAGCTATTTTTCCAAAAAGAGACACACGACACTATGGAGTTTAGCCATCACGTATCACGCATTTTATAATCTAATAGTCTAGAGGAAGCCGGCGGCGGGTGCTTACAGACCCCGTAATAAACTCGGATTAAACAAGACTGTCTTTCTTACTTCAAGACCAGAACAAAAAAAAAAAAGTAGTCGAGAGAAGAAATATTCGCGCAGCTTTGTTGTCAGATGAAACTTTAATAAATGTTGGCAGCTTTATTGATGGGGAGGGACTCGTCCCTGTCTTCCGACATTCTCAACATTGAGTAATTATAATTACACGAAATTACGTACTGAAATTCCCATCATTACGTAATACAGTCATTTATTAATATGAGGTAGAATGGAGGAAAGAGTGTCCCAGAAGAATACGTGTCGCATTTCCTTCTTTCATTCACGCGAACAGAATGAAAAATTCTTGGAGGTTGTTATTGTAATAGGAACACGTGTAAAATGAACTGACTGCGGGTGATTTTTTCCAGTTACCCGCCCTTCCTCGTCATCCCTACAGAAACACGTCCACGAGGGTGTATTGCGTCGATATGTCAGTCCGTCGAGGCAACGCGTGCTCGTCGTCTTTGCATTTTATTAAGTTTGCCGTCTACCGTCGGTGCAATACAACTCCACTTTTTCTTCCCACACAGATCCCTTTTTTCCCCCATATATATAAGAGAGACCTTCAACTATATACAGTTTGGAGTGCACGTGTACGTGGAAGGACACCGGAGAATTTATGGTGGAAAGTACAGACGAGGGGAAAGAAAGGACTTTCGACCAATACCCACCAAAAGTCTCTCGGACTCTTATATACGCGCCTGCTGACGCCGCGATACATTCCCAGGCAATAACTTGAGATTTTCATCTCAACGGGGAAAGGGAAAATCATAACTAAACTCTTGTGTCGTGGAAATAAACAAACAATTCGATTATCCCGTTTTCTATTTGCTCGAGTGAAAAACTGGAAAGCCACCGTAATATACCGAAAAAGTACTTAGCATTCTTCCATTGTAGAAACAACAATCAAAGTTATAGTTGGAGTTATAGTCTGGTATGATAAAATATTGTCGGACCGTCTTTAGCAGAATAATTACATTGACTTTATAGATAAGATAATATTGTGCGATTCTATATCATTTTTTAATTTATTATAAAATTAGATAAAAAATATATTCAAGGAATATATGCACGTTTTGTATATTTTTATGATAGTAGAAAAAATTCTCGCGGGTATGGGAGATGCCTCATTAGAAGAAAAATTATATAACTTATTGATATTAGCTTAGAGGAAAATATTCGACATGAAAATTATTTCTAAACAATTTTATGATACAATAACAATCGAATAATAATCATACAAGACAAACTTGTGAATGATTTTATGCATGAATCAAATTTTGTATTTATATTTATATATATTTATTCAAAAAGTTAAAAATTATGATCACAATCTAGGCGAAATAAATCGGTACCAAATTTCCTTTCACAACTTTTTTTCTCAAAGAATAAATTGAGTGAATTCAAGATATTTTTGTTCAAGATTCGAATAAAGTAATTCATAACAGAACTATTTATATTATAATAAATTTATTTATCAACACGCCGTATATTGAATCGAATCACAATTGACGGAGTTTATCATAATTACTTTCTACTCATCGTAACAATAGATTTTTCACCAGTTCCCATGTAGTTAAATCTCCCTCAGTGTAACATTGCGAATTCAATTTAATTTCATGCAGACATTGACTTTATTTGTCACCCGATACGGTGAACAAAAGTAGAATGGAGAATGAAAAACAATGGAGGGACATTATTTAACCGCTCCCCGTAATGCAAGAGCTATTCCGCTTGATGTCCCTGGTGTGTACCTTTGGGGTACACGAGGTACCCACAGGCGCCTGCGGTAAGTTTCGCGGTCGACGGAGGTAACACGAGACGAGTTCAATCGGGCGAAGGCAATCGTTGTCTGCGCGAGTGAGACGATCAGTTTCTACCTCGTTTTCTTTCCGTTTCTGTACGTAGCAGTGAATCACGTTATCCCCGCAAAACGTTTATATCTACCCGCACACAGACACAGTCTTTATCCCCCAAAATTTAAGTTTAATACTACAAAACTGGCATCAAACCCCCCCCCCCCT